TCTGGGCTGTGACATGATAGAAACTTCATTTGAAAAAGAAAGCCAGGGTGTCTCAGATTATCTGAAACGAGGCCAGAGAATGCTCACAGTGTCCAAGATGAGATAGATTGTGGGGGTAACAGTTTACTGCAATTCCCTAGCTCATTTATGAATGTTGAAGAAGTATGGGTTATTCTCTGGGCAACCAGGAAAATTCCTAAGAGTTTTCTGTAGTTCCAATTTGTAGGAAGAGAAGCAATATAATTTCCCTAAAAACGTTTGCTCCCAAGTTCCTTCAATAGAAGGACTGAAAGGATGATTGCACCACAAAATTCTATTTGTACACATCTAATGACTTCTGTATGTGACTTTTCATGTTTAGGACCTTCTGGTGTTGGAGTAAATGAACTGAGGAGACAACTCATTGAACTTAATCCTAACTGCTTTCAAAGTGCTGTGCCACGTATGTTTAGTTTTTCTTTCATAGCAGTTCATGTTCTGGTAAAATTTTTTGTGCCTTTGCAGACACACTGATCTCACTTATGTCATACCATCTCTGTTGTAAAAACATAAGACACAAGGGATAGTCCTTCATATTTATAACTATATTTCTCTTAATAGAGGGAACTGATTTCCTGGCATCTAGCTAGCTAGGTTTTTAAAAGGTGACCTTTTTCTATTTCTTAATGATAGTTCCTTTCAGGAAAGCTAGTATTTATGAATATAAAACTCATATTTATAACAGCTAACATTCATTCAGTACTTACCATCTTCCCAGCACTGTGCTTGGCTCTTCAAATGCCGTATCTCTCTTTTTTAATTAAAAAATTTTAATATATGCACAAATAATTTTATATGAATCTGTGAGTAGAAATAAATCTATGGTAGGATGAATGTGTAGGTGCTTCCTGTTGTCAAGGCAAGAGACAGAAACTTAGGGAAACCCCTGAAAGTCCAACCTTGAGTTACGTATGAATTCACAGACTTTATCCTACACGTAAAATATAGTCCAGTAGAAGCCAAGGAGAAGGGGTCAGTTTAGGTTTATGTTAACATAATTTGCTATGACCTGAGTGTTAGTGTTTTACTGCAATTTTTTTTAGTACAAAGCTATAGAAGTAGCCTAACTGTAGGCACTCTAAGGATCTGTAGAGAGGCTTGTATAATGAAAAAAACAAAAATGACCCCCAGATGACATTTGCTTTTTGAGCCTCTTGAATGTTCACAACTCCTTTTATTATTTATGGCCTGTTTCAAGCTCTTACTTGGTCATGTCCTTGTAATGATATCATCAGGCATTGACCTATTTCATCCTCAGACTTTGTGAGATGCAAATGCACAAACTTTTTATGAATAAGGGGAATTTGTTGTAATGCAGTTTAAGGGACTAGTAGCTTTCCAGTATATAGTACATGGGACACAGGTTAGAACTCTGTCTTATTCATCTTTGTGTTCTAAGAACCTAATATGATAGCTGGAACATAGGCCCTCAGTACACATTAGTTGAATAAATGAGTGAGCAAACAATGAATCACTTTTAGGTATACAGTGAAGTCCTATGTTCTAAACCAGGTGCTATTTAAATTGAAGAATCTGTAATCAACATGGTCATATCAAAGAACTGGGCTGAACCCAGACTCCATGAATCTTCTCTTCTGGAGATTTCTAAAACTAATCAACCATCTCACTTGGATATTAATGTATCTAGGCAAGAACACAACTGTCATGAGCTTTCTCCATTTAAAATCTGAGACACTCCTGTGTGGTAGAAAATGTTAGTCCAGGAGGAGTCAGAATGCCTCAGTTGTTGTTGTCAACTTGGCTTTTCATTAGTCTGATGTACATGAGCGAGTCAGTTATTCTCTAAAGTTTTTAGTTACTTATCAGTAAACTACGGGTAATGATATTTCACCTAGCTATGGGTGTAAAGGATGACATGAGATCTCTGGAAGTGTACTATCCAAACATAAGATATTGCTGGAATTGCTCCCCAGAGTCCTTTAGGAATCTTAGGGCTCACTCATAATTCACTAGTGCCTGTTTTGAAGTAAGAGTGAGTGTTCCCTTAGGGCCTCACTATCTAATTTAATAGCTAATTCATTCTTGTCCACACCAGGAGTATTTAATAAAGGTTTAGAATTAACTGATTTTTTATATGAGAACTTCTACTTCCTTTCTCACCAATTCAGACTTCCTCTTCTTGGTTCTAGCATTTTATTTACTTATCTGTTTACTCAGTTATTTATTTTGATTGGACATTTTTAACTAAATGCATATTGTAATAAATCAAAACATTTGAAGAGTCTAAAACCTTTTCAAAAATTCCATTTTTTTGATAGACACTACTCGTTCCAAAAAGAGTTATGAAATGGATGGGCGTGAGTATCACTATGTGTCAAAGGAAACATTTGAAAGCCTCATGTACAGTCACAGGTAAGCTAGACAGGTAATCAGAATTTGATTCTCAACCCTGGTTGTTTTACATTCCAAATAGATTCCCTATTTTTATGCATTATTCAAAGCTTCTTGGCGTAATTACTCTTGTTTCTGAAGAGTTAAGCAAGGAAATGTAAATTGATATACTGATACACCAACTTGTTGGGTTCAAAGAGGGAGAGGAATAGCGTTACAGATTTTAGAGAATTTGGAGTAGTTAAGTCCTAGATCTCCTAATGTTTTTTTCTCCTGTCAAATATCCACTAATTGTTTCAGTGCTAGCAAAGTCCACAAATCTAGATTCTATTTTGCTGGAGTTTATCTTCATGCTACTGCTCCTAATATTTTATTTGTAGAAAGAGCTCTTCTTTTCCTTGTGCCACCCTTGCAGGATGCTCGAGTATGGTGAGTACAAAGGCCACTTGTATGGCACCAGTGTGGATGCTGTTAAAGCCGTCCTTGATGAAGGAAAGATCTGTGTCATGGACTTAGAGCCTCAGGTGGGTCTGTGGTGTAATATTTATAATTTCTCCAAAGTAATGAGTGAATGTCATCTATTTTGTGTACATGCTGTAGGTGGTAGTTGAGATATTTCACTTAAAGTTAGCACTTTAAGGATAAGACTACCTACCACCATACCTAAGGGCCAGAATCTTACACAAGGGATCAATTGCCAATATCTTATCTTTCAGTAGGGAGGGAGAATTGCTTCTTAGACACAAAAACAGAACTGACAGCATGGCCATAAAGAAAAATTAGAATCCTGTTTTTACCTTAATCCCAAAGGCATCATGGCAACTTGTGGAGGGACTAAGATGTTGCTTTATACAAGAGGTGAGGAGAAACCTCACTATAGATGCTGTCTTATCTACAGCTACCTCCATGAGACGATATGAAGCACGAGTAAGTTAAAGTAAGATAAAGAACATACAATGTGTAGCTCCAGTTTTTATGATACTTGTATTTTCTTTGTGTTTACAGCAGTTATTTTAAAATATACCATGTGTGCTAAAGAGGATCAAAACAAGATATTTGTTCTTACTTGGGTCAAAACTGGTAGTCAGTGTGAAGATGTCAGTAGTATCCAAGTGAGATAGTAAGAAGAAACGGAAGTGAGGGTGAAATCTGACCTAATCTTTTATCCTTGTTTTTATCCTTTGTTTTTATCCTTGTCTTGTGAGATTATGTATAGAATCCTGTTGTCAGATTTCGGTAAGGGTGTCATGGCTAGTAAGAGTAAGAGACAGGATTTGAACTGAATTTTGATTCTAGAGCCTCCATCTCTTCATTATTAGAGGTTTTTTTTTTTTTTAGAGATGAGGACTTGAGGGCACTTGAGAATACAGTCTGGCTAAAAATAATTGCTTGTTTTGGTCTTAGAAATTTTGAGAACATTCATGTTGACTCTAAAAACTAAGACTTCTGTTTTTAAATGTGCATTTATTTTTCTGTGCAGGGTATTCAAGCAGCTAGAACCCATGAACTGAAGCCCTATGTCATATTTATAAAGCCATCTAATGTGAGTCATATGAAGCAATCTCGGAAAAATGCCAAGATAATTACAGAGTACTTTGTGGATATGAAATTCAAGGTAAGCTACAGAGAAAGTGGATAAATGTGTTGGTTTTTTTTCCCTAGTCACAAATCAGTGTATTGTTTCCATAGCATCCCTGTATGAAGGAATATAATTTTTGTTTCTAAGGAATAATGCCTTTATCATTTATCCTCTTTACTGGACATCATTTATAGATATTAAAATCAAGTTTAATAAATGCTATGATGATACTCTTATGGTTTTTCTTTTTTCAAGTCTAGTTTAAAAAAAAGAATCTCAAGCCAGTTTGCAAAGCCATACAGAAATCGGGTATATGCAAGCCTGATATATTTAAAATGTATTATTGATCTTATGTAAACACTTGAGGGTGTGCTTTAAAAATGTTCTAGTGAATGCATCTTATCTGTAATATGAGGTATCTTTTTTTTATTAAGGTATCATTGATATACACTTTTCTGAAGGTTTCACAAGAAAAACAATGTGCTTACTACATTCACCCATATTATCAAGTACCGCCCCATACTCCACTCACTGTCCATCAATGTAGTAAGATGCCAGAGATACTTGTCTTCTATGAGATATCTTTATATATACATTTTTTAACATAAAAGATGTTATTTAATGATCATGGTAGTAATAGAGCTGAATTTTGATTCTAGAGCCTCCATCTCTTAATTATTAAAGAGATGGATAAAGCCAGGCGGGATTAATCAGTGAACCCTTCCTAGTATAGATGATTTTATTTCCAGTGTTACGTATTTTTTTCATTAAATCCACCTTAAATATTTAAGTCATAATATACATTCAGCAAGATGTATAAATCCTAAGTGTTCAGCTCAATGAACTTTTACATGTGAATGCACCCAACTGTCACCTATAGATATTGTATTCACTTATTTTGTGTGATAAAAAATACATAAAATATAAGCCTTACCATGTAAAGCATTTTTAACTGTACAGTTCAGTAGTGTTAAGTATATTCACATTGTGAAACAGATCTCCAGAATGTTAGTTTCATCTTGCAAAATTGAAACATATGGAACACTTCATGAATTTGTTTTATCATCCTTGCATAGGGGCCACACTAATCTCTGTATTGACAAATTTTAGTACATGTACTACAGAAGTGAACACAAGGTATTTTTTTATATTGTTCTTTTTTTGGTATCATTAATCTACAATTACATGAAGAACTTTATGATTACTAGGCTCCCCCCTTCACTAAGTCCCCCCCACATACCCCTTCACAGTCACTGTCCATCAGCGTATGTTATTCTTTATCTGTCATTTTTATCTTTATTTTTTTTCAATGACTACTCTTAGAAAAGTCTTATTCTTCAGTTTGCATTTCAGACAGTGGAGTCCATGGAGATAGTCTCTATGTCTTACAGAAATTTAAGATTGTGTTCTCATTTATATGACAATCTAAACAAATTGACAAAATTATTTCTGAATCATGTATATGGTCTCTTGTAAAGAAGTACTGCCACAAGATTTCAGTGCCTACATTTGTATTTGTGTTTATGATTGCATTGGCAACAAGTTGTACATTTTAATGGTTGTGGACAAATAAGAAAATAACAGCAATGAATTTAATGCATTAGTACCAACTGAGGGCCAAATGACCTTCACTGGATGAACATTTCATAATAGTATAGACAGTATTATAGGTAAATTAAGTCATGGAGCAAAGGGTAATTTAGGTATGCCTAATTTATAGACATTATCCTCATGTTGAAAGTGGCCATTTTGTTTCTGCAAAATAATGTCATTCTTATCAGATTAATGTTCATTTGAAATTTGTGTGTTACTTACATGTAACTGGTTAATTTTTTTTTATATGGTTTGAGGGCTTCAAGTGTTTAAGGTAATAGAATAAGATCATTTAAGTCCAAATGGGAAGTTGAAGGTATTGGATCTGTTTACCAACCATTATTCACTTTTGCAAAGTCTTGATCAGAGAGACATTAAGTACAACTAAAGATAGAAATACAAATTTTGTAGTTCAGAATAGAGGATATTTATTTGATCTGTTTTAATATATAGCTTTGTACTGAATGTAACAGCAAAACAAACTGAGAACATTTCTATTCTTATTCAGTCTGTGCTATCCATATTTTTCCATTTCTCCTGAAGGATGAAGATCTACAAGAGATGGAGGATTTAGCTCAAAAAATGGAAACTCAGTTTGGCCATTTTTTTGATCACATGATTGTGAATGACAACTTGCAAGATGCATGTGCTCAGTTGTTGTCTGAAGTTCAGAAGGCTCAGGAGGAGCCTCACTGGGTACCAGCAACATGGGTTACCTCTGATACTGATTCTTAAGGAGGCCTCCTGCATACTGTCGGCATTTAACAATGTTTACCTGTTTCAGAGCTCTGGAATAACAGATGTAATCTAAAACAACAGCATTCGCCCAATTATAATGTGTGCAACTTTAAAAATGCTGCAATCCATTGATTAATCCTATTTGAAAAAACATTATTATATAGTTACACAGAGTTACCTATTTCGCTTTTATGGAAAAAATGTTTCCTTAACCTCATATGCAGCAATGGTAGGAAAATGAACAATGTTAAGTCTGTAAGTATTGAGAACTTTTCATGGATTTCATATAGTCTTTGTATGATTCAGATAAAAACTGCTTTCCTAAATAAAATAAGTAGCATTTCAGAAACGATTTCGTCTTGTGAAATTTGTTATATCAAAATGGCTTTTACAAAGGTGCCTACTTGACTAATTCAGCAAGAATGGTTAATACACATTTTATATTTAACATCAATACCTACAAACTGGACAGCCCTCATCAGTACACGTCAGGATGCAAGGAAAAATTATTCTGTTTAGAGCTGTAACAATCATTAATTTCTCTAAAAGCCTAAATTACGCTACATTTATGCTTAAATTAGGAAAGATTAGGGGATTTCAACCTACAGACCAGTATCTGAGAAAAACCACAAGATGAAGGTGTTATTCCATGAAGTCTCATTTTCCTTCTTCCCTACGTCTGAGACTTCAGTCGCTCTTCCTGCCCCTTCTTTATCTTCGGCATCATTCTGTTTTCCATATCCAAATCATCCCTCCAATCTTAATTATAAATCAGTGCGTGCTTCAAAATATTTGTAGCTCTTTTCACTTACAGTATCTTTCAAAAAACCCCAAAGAAAATTAAGTCATTTTTAATGATCGTTAATGTGAGCCTGGATTTTTTTTTATGCTGTTTCTTTGAGAAAAAGGTTTCTCATACTTTATTTACAGTTGTCAAATGAAGGGTAAGCAACTGGCGAAAATTTGATTAACTGCCTCTATCTCACACACACATACACACGCGCAACTGGAGAAAATGTGGTTGTTTGTATCCATACACACCCGTCCAAGTGAAACAAACGCTGGGCTTGGAGAGCAAACGCGCGGGTCCCGAATTCCGACGCCTTGGGCTTGGCGGATCGAAGGCGGGCGCAGACCGGGCCCAGGGCCACGCGGCCTCGTCTGGGGCCCAGAGGCCCCCGCCTCCCTCAGGTCCCGGAGGCCGCGGCGGCGCGGATAGTGAGGTTCCGGCCGGCGGCTGTTGCGCCGAGGAGGCTTCGCGGGGAGATCGCCATGAAGGCCGACTCGGTACTAAGGCTGGGGGAGGCCCACCCGGTGAGCGGCGAGGGGGTGCGCCCGCTAGAAGTGGTCGAGGATGAAGGGTGCTGCCGCGACGCAGCCGCTACCCCTGGAGGCGGGAGGCGACGCCAACAGGTTGGAAGAAGGGGACACCTCGGTTCGCGGTGCGCGCTCATCCGCCTCCTCGGCGCTCACAGGATTGGATTGGGGCGGGGGCGGGATGTTCCTCCTGAGGCTGGACCCGAACTCCTGCAGCGGGGCGAGGACCGCACGTGAGGCTTCCCGGGCCCTGCAGGTGCAGGTTGCCCTGACGGCACCTCACTGCGGGTTCCCGGGCTGTCAGGCGCCGCCTACAGCCTCGTCCCGAGGGCACTTAGATGCGGCGAATCGGTTTGACAGCGGAGACTTTAATCGTGGTCTTCTCCACGGCCCTCAAGCAACCGCAACCACTAGGAGGTCACGGGAAAAATCGTGAGTGCGGCCCTACGCCTGCTGGAGTCTCTCTTCCTGGGCACGTCAGCCCGACTCCGACGCTCCCTTTCCGGCAGGGTTAGACTGGAAAGACAGCAGCACCGCGCGCTCCTACCCGCTCCCGCCGCGCCCGGAGTAGGCCGGAGCTGGAGCCGCCGGGGCGGCGCAGGCCGATGACGCACTGCGCCTGCGCGCCCGGCTGGCCGGGTGGGCGTGAGCCGCTGGCGCCCGGGAGGAGCGAGCTGGGTAGCTTGGGGGCCGCGAGGGGGCTGAGGGAGGTGAGGGGGGTGCGGGGGGCGAGGTGGGGGCGCGGGATGTGAGCGCCTTGCGCCGGGGAGCTGGTGGCCGCAGGGGAGCTGGACTTTAGACGGAATGGGAAAGAAGCAGGTGGTAAGCGAGCCTTAGTGACTTTTGAGTTACTAGGATTTTGTGTTTAGTTGAGGCGTCTCTGTTTTGAGGAGCTTAGAGGTTGGGTTTCTGGATGGGTGACACATCATCTTTGCGTGACTTTTGAATTGCGGAGTAACCGTGTGAACTGAGTCCTTGTGTGGAACGCGATACGTAGCATCTCTATAATAACAATAGCGCCTTCTCATGTGATTATAGTTCTTTTCCACTTGTAGTTTTGGCTGCTGGTTAGTATTAAAACAGCTTGCCTTGTCCTAATCTGGTAGCATTTGTATTCATACACTATTTGAACGATGGGTTGGTAGAACAAATGAGAAGAGTGTAAAATTTTACCCTTTTAAATCAAATGCCCTCTGCAAGCAGCATGAGATACTTGGAACATTAAACTGATTTTTAGGCATTTGTTAGTTTTTATTTGGAAAGATTCCAGAATGCTTCTCAGCTGTGATCTGAGCTGCAAAAACAACTTTTCTTATTCATGTAAAGTAGCATTTGTAAGGTAGGAAAAAAACCCACTCTGCTTTAAAATGTATTCAGGGTGATCTTTTAAAAAAAAAAAAAGTTACAATGTGGCGTAAAACCGCCATTGGTTTTTCATCGAATTAAAACAAAATCTAGACTACTTCCCTTGGTCTTCAAGGTCTTAATTAATTTGGTTTCTGCCTATTGCTCCTTGGTAATTGTACTACAGGCTTACTGGCCTTGCTCCTCCCCTCGCCCCATAACACTACAATCTGAACTAAAAGCCTTTGTATTTGCTTCCCAATGGCTCCTTTCTTATTAAGGTCTTAGCGCAGATACCTCAGACTTTTCCCTAATTAAAGCAGCACTCCTCCTCCGTCATTTATTACTACGTGTGTGTGTTGTGTATTTTAAAAATATTATCTTCTAATACTTAACCACTACAAAGTAAGTTACATAAAAGCAGGGTATTTCTGTTTTGGTCATTAAAGTATCCGTAGTGCTTTAGGACAAGGCAAGCTGTTTTAATTCCTCTTAGGTTTTACTTAGTGAACAGGTTTATAAAAAGATTTAAAATACAGGAAGTAAAGATAGCCTAAGACTTTAATGACAATTTTCTGTTCCCCATAGCGTCCTCCACGAGCCCTTCCACCTGCACCAAGGTAAATATAATTTACCATAATTTTATCATTGAGTTTTAAAAATGCAAAATGAATGAAGAGAAAAAAATTGACTAGTACCATAGAAAATTCAAAATAATTCAGAGACTTCGTGAAAGTTTTAGAAAAATGTTCCCTAAAAGTTTAAAGGTAAAAAAATCCTTGAATCATAGGATGTTTTAATTAAATGTTCTGTTTCAAAGCCTGAATGTCAACATGGTAGGATAATTTGTCCATTCTGAATATTTTATTATCTTGTTTATGAGAATTCCAATCCTCAGAATTTAAGCTGATTTTAATCAGTGACAAAATAAGAATTCTTAATCTGTTTAATCCACTTTATTAATAGACAGTAGGTTCAGAAAATATTGGGGTTATTTTGTTAGTCTTATTTAATAGCTTATGACTTATAAAAAAAGCTAATTTATAAACTAGCTGACTGTGTGAAAGCTAATTTTATTTTAAGTTTGTAATGACTTTAGTTTTCAGTCTGACATTATAATAGATTTGTAATTAATAGAGTTTCTTTTTTGTGTCTTTGTCCTGAATAAATTTGGTCGGTGTCATGTAAAGTGCTGTTCAAGGTAAGTTAGTTCAGGGGAGGATGGATGGGAAGGGAGGGATAAGGGCGGAGAAAAAGAAAGAGGGCATTACGATTAGCATGTATAGTGCGTGGGGGGCACGGGGAGGGCTGTGCAACACAGAGAAGACAAGTAGTGATTTTACAGCATCTTACTACGCAGATGGACAGTGACTGTAAAGGGGTATGTCGGGGGGACTTGGTGAAGGGGGGAGCCTAGTAAACATAATGTTCTTCATGTAATTGTAGATTAATGATACCAAAATAAAATTTTTAAAAAAAGGTAAGTTAGTTCACAATTAATGTAAAAATTCATAATATAATACTTGGTGTTCAAAAATTAGTTGGATTCCTTAAATGTTTCTCCTAAAATTGAATCTGAATGTATAATTTATAATACTACAATATTCTTTTATTAAAATAATTTCCTATGACTGCCATTTTTTATTTTATATTTTGTTTTCACCTTGTTTTTTTAATTGAAATATGCTTGCTTTACAATATTGGTTTCAAGTGTACAACATAGTGATTTGACAGTTATCTACATTGTTAAATGCTCACCCTAATGAGTGTAGTTGCTATCTGTCAACATAGAAAATATTACAGTATTATTGACTATATACTCTATGCTGTACTTTTATGTGCTAATTTATATTATAATTGATGTTTTTGTGCCTCTGTCCCCTTCACCTATTTCATATGCCCACCTCAACCCCTCCCCCATAGTAACCACGAGTCTCTTTTTTGTGTTTATGTGACTGCCAATTTTTAAACAAAGGTTGATAAATAACACTAGTTCTATGGTTGGTTTGACTTTACAGATAAATATAAAAGCACTCATCCTTGACTGGAGGCACTCAGAATATAACTGTTGACTACATTGTAGTTCTGTAATAGGGACCACATCTTCCTTTGTCTCCTTTAGTTAGGATAGACTCAGTTATCTCAGTTATGCTACACTAACCCCCAAATCTCAATGACTTACAGGGTTTAAGTCACTTTGGCCCTGAAACGACACACATCACTTCTGCTCCCAGTGTATTGGCCAGAACCAGTCATAGGCATACCTAGGTGCAAGGGGGTGGGAAATGTACGGGGTCAGATGACTGGTGAGCCCACTTTCTATGTTACTGTTTCTAACATTACTGACCAGCAGTGAGCTCCTGGCACGACACTATGAACTGTCTTTGACTTTGTCAATTTCTTGACTTCTTCCCTAATGTGTAGAAATTGGCTGGACCTAAAAAGAGAGGGAAAAAGTCCCTGTTACTGAATTTTAGGCGGCCTTTTCTGTTGTTGTTTTCTTTATTTTATAGGTGATATTCCACCTAATTGTCCTAAGAAAAAGAAGCCCAGAACAAAAAACACACTAGGTAAGAAGTTGTTGTCTGTTGTGTAGGATCACAGATTTTTCTAGGACCTTAGCATGATAAACATCACAGATCAGGAGAGGGAAGGCCTCTGCAGTCCCAAGTCACTGCTCTGTTGAGGATAGAAGCAAGGTCAGTTTGAAGCAGTGGGATTCCTGGTGGTAGGGAGGGAGAAGGCAGTGGGCAGCCTGAAGAGTGTTAGAAGCATTAATGGAGTAAAGGGTTGTGCCCTTTTTGTCCCCTTATTTCCATAACATTCTTGGATCCTTTGAGGTCTTTTATCCCTAGAGAGTATAAACTGTCTTAAGCTCTGATTGGTTCCAATCCCTCGAAGAGGATACTAGATTTAGAGACACAAAGTTCTTGGATCTCACATTTTGGTCAGAGACTCTCTACATTAGACCCTGAGTCTGAAGGCAGGACCATATCATCCATGTGTTAAAGCTGCAGTAATGAGCAAGTTCTGTGAACTCCTTTTTGTCATAGCTATCCACTAATAATCCTGGGAGTTTAGTTAGTAACTCACAGTTTCTGTTCATGGAACTCCCTAGTCTCCAAGTCACTCTGGCTTGAAACCTCAAAGTCACCTCTAACTGGTCCCTTCACTTTACTTGCTGCCCCTTACAAGCTTCTATGGTATCTTTTATCTCTCTTGTCCTTTTTCATTTTCACTGGCACAACTGTAGTTAGTTTAGCTCCTTCCCTCTTCTCACCTGAGCTACTGGGGTTGCCTCCAGCATTGCTCTATGCTTCTAGCTTTCTTCTTCTTTCGTCAGTCCTGCCCACCACTGCTGAATGAGCTTAAAGCTTGTAGCGATCACGCCTTACACTTGGTCAGAAACTTGTATTGGTGTATTATTGTCTAACAAATGGAGGAATAAAGGTGGAGCAAAAGAAGAAATGGAGATGACACAAGAAATAGAGAAAGACACAAACAGAGCAATAAAGGAAAAGAGATGCAAAGAGAACTTAGAGTTACAAAGATACTGAAATGCCAGGCTTTAAAAATATCCTCACGATTAAAAATAAACATGTACATATAAACTTAGAAAGGTCACAGGTAGAGGATGCAATAGATAGATTTGGGGAAGCAGAGGGACAGATCTGTCCCAGCCACCAGTGCTTCCTTTTTGTAAAAAAGGGGGAAAAATTACATGCTTTAGATGAAAAAAAGGTTATATTCCAGACTTTTGTTAAAATTGTTTAGTGTTATGGGGAAAACAGTGTAGCACAGAGAAGGCAAATAGTGAATTGTGGCATCTTAGTACACTGATGGACAGTGCCTGCATTGGGGTATGGGTGGGGCCTTGATAATACAGGTAAATGTGGTAACCACAGTGTTTTTTCATGTGAAAACTTCATAAGAGTATATATCAATTATACCTTAATAAAAATTTTTAAAAAATTGTTAAGTGTTAAATGTTGACATGTTTTTACTTAGAGTTTTGAAGTTCTTATTTTTTATATGGTTATGCTCATCTCATTTTAATGCAGTTTAATAAAAGAATTCTGTTTTTGGGAAATAATGTCCTCTTTTTGTCTTATTGAGAGATACTCATCATAAACACTGAAAGCTGTTTTATGATTAGGTCATGTGTTTGTTGCCAGTGAGAAAAGTATTGCATTTTCATATTTCATACATACTTTGTTCCTGGCAAAGTCTTTATAAGTAAAAGTCATTTATGATGAATAGTTCTTTTTATGTTTAAAAGTTTTTTGAGGGAGTAGCATTTCTGACTAAAGTATGATTTTAAACATGACAGTAAGCAGCATATACAAAGATATTTAATTTTTAATGATACCACTATATAATATTATATTGTTCTAAGTATATATAAATCAATTATGTTATATAAAAATTTTAATTAGTACAATATGCAATGTGCATTGAGCATATGCAGTGTACAATAAAGAAATTTTAACTGAACCCTGGTTTTATAGCTGTTTCATATTTCAGACATCAAAATTATGTTAATTTGAAGCCTTACGATATGAAAATATCTATCTGTATATATAGATATAGTAAAAAATTTTCAGTTCAGCTAGTATTGATTTGATACAACAAGCACTAAATTTATTGTAATTCATGATGTGATATAAATGTAGGTTAAGACACAATTCTTACAGGCAAAGATGTAATAAAAGACAGTTAATCACTATTTAGGAAACATTCCAATTCCCTTGTTTCCCATCTTTTGAAGACTCAGTGATCTCTGCTTAAGTTGTCCCATTTTTTTCGCCACCATTTTTCTGTAGGTAGTGCTTCTTCAGAAGGCCTTGTTCAGACTGCTGTCCACAGGCCATCTGAGGACAGTGAGCCACCAACTGAAGAACACATAGAGCAGCCAGAAGCTCCTGCGCAAAGGAGACAGAAGGCAGCGAGGCTACGTCCTGGTATGTGAGGAGACTATGGGTAGATGGTGATAGCAGCTGTGATTAGGGGTGGGGAGATATAATGAAAAACCTGTCTGTTTCTATTTTTCCCCACCCATACCCCTTTTTTTCTTTCTTGCTTAAAATTTTCATCACTAGAGTAACTCTTAGGAGGTTAAGCCAGGGACACTTTAGAGTGTCTCTTGATCATATATCTGTAGATTATGAAGCAAGGGATACAAATTCAGGACTAAAACAGAAAATTTAGATCTTGGTGTAAGAATTTATTATATGGTGAAGTGGACATTTCAAGTCAGTGAGGAAAGGATAGAGACAGTATTAATAATGTAATGGAACAACAGCCAACATTTTTTGAGTCTTGCAATGTTTCAGGTACTAGTCACAAGATAAGTAAAATACCGTATCATTTATTTTGCCTATCAAATTGGCAGTGCTTTTTTCAAATTATAAAATGCAAAAGTGTTAGTTATAAAAGTGTTGATGAGAAATGGGTACACTGCACACTGCTGATAGGAGCACAAAGTGATACAGGCTGTCCTAACTTCTAGGAAGAGGTAACAATAGCTAGAATAATTAGAGGATGTTAACTGCAACATTATTTGTAAGAGTACAAATTGGTAATAACCAAATAACTAACAACTTGATACTGGCTAAATAAATCATGTTTTATACATTTAATAGAAACCAAGTAGGCATTTAAAGCATTGTTAAAATGTAATAGTGACATAGAAAATCATCAGTAATAAACTGTTGAGTCATCATACATGTATAAAGTAGTGTGTATCAAAGGATCCCATTTTGTAAAATATGTTGTATTAATTTCCTAGGGCAGCCATAACAAATTATCACAAACTGAATGACTTAAAACAACAGAAATTTATTCTCTGACAGTTCTAGAGAGCAGAAGCCTGAAATCAAGGTGTATATGGGGCCATGGTCCTTCTGAAGTCTCTAGGGAAGAATCCAACCTCGACTCTTCCACCTTCTGGTGGTTATTGGCAATTCTTGGTGTTCTTTGGCTGTGGCAGCATAGCTCCATTCTGTGGCTCCACCTTTACATTTTTTCGCTGTTTCTGTGGCCAAGCTTCACTATTCTTATAAGGATACCAGTCACTGCATTTTGGGCCCATCCTAATTAAGACCTCATCTTAATTTGACTCTATCAGCAAAGACCCAATTTCTAAATAAAGTGTGATTCAGAGGTACTGAGGGTTAGGGCTTGAACATATCTCTTTTGGGGGATACATTTCAACCCAGAACATATACATATACCTCTGTGAGTGTGTTTGTGTGTGTATATATATATATATATATATATGTATGTATGTGTGTTAATTCCATTAACAAGAATGGAAACATGAAGCAAAGTGTTAACAGTGGTAGGTTTTTTGGAAAGGGGAGGTTAGGGATCTTTATTATCTTCCTTTCTTCATTTTTGTTTTACTTTTTATATTCAGCATGTCTGATGTTTATAATAACTAGAAGAAAGACAGTGGGTTTTGTTAGAGTAAAACAAAGGGAAAGAATGAAGATGGGAGATTAGTTCTCTCCTTGACATCGGCCCCTATGAAAAATTTATTAAAAAATAATTTTCCTGACTAGTTACTTGTCCTCTTAGAAAACAGCAGGTCCTGATTGGGTGGAAGAATTAAGGTACAGAGGGCAGGAACTGAAAAGGTCAAAAGAATGGAATACAGTTTTGAGAGGCAAGTTGAAGTGGGATACTGCAGTGTGTGGGGACACTTTATGAGGAGAAAAGGGGAAAAATGAAGAAAAGTGATGCTCAGAGAGTTTTACCTACTGTATGATTTATGTCATTACTGGCAGTAAATATAGTTGAATTAAAACTGCTCATAGTAATTCAGTTAGGACACAGATTTGAAAATCAAGATGGATACCAATATCTACTTTTTTAATTTGTGAAAAAATGTATTTACAGAAAAGACTTAACTGTTTTTAGAAAATTCAAGACCAACTAAGTTCTGGGCCAAAGAGCACCTGTCACAGCTATTCCAGAATGTACCCCCCTGTGCAGGTCCAATTTTCTAAATTTCTGGGCTTTTAATTTTGTTTGTTGTTTTGTTCAGTATAACTATGATAGGCTCTACTGCTTATGTATTTCCAGCCTGGCTGTAAATATTTTATTCAAACAGATTTCTTGGGACTTTAAGGGCATTTCAGAAATCCACTGGCAGTATTTCTAGATCTGAGTAGCTAGCAGCTTAGAGGCCTTCACTGACTCATTTAAACTTAATACCCTGCATGCAGTTAAGAGTTAACACAGCAGGCCTGAAGCTGCTCTCCTTAGAAAGGCCTGCTTGCCAGGAGGCTTCTTCACTGATATCCAGAATGTGGCTGGTAAACAGTTCCCTACACTGATACAAAACTTTCCCCGATTTATGAGGGTGATTTACTGTGCATTTGTGTACACAATATGATTTATGCTGAACAGTTCTTTTCTTCTGGGAATCGAATTTGGGTATGTGCTAGGCAGAGGGTGCCTATGTGATGACCTCCCAGTAAAAGCCTTGGGGGCTGTGTCTCTGCTGAGCTTCCCTGTCACAAGAAGCTGAGAGAATGTGTCACACAAGTTGTCACAACTTAGTGCTGGAGGAATTAGCCAATCCTATGGACTCCACTGATAGAGGACTCTTGGGACCTTGTGCCTGGTTTCCCTTGGACTTTGCTCCATGTGCTTTTTCTAATTTTGCTTCATGCCCTTTCACTGTAATTGTGAGAGTGCAAAATTTTGTGAGTATAATGACTTCTGAGTCCTGTGAGTCCTTTGACTCAATCACCAAACCTAGAGGTAACCTTGGGGGTCTCCCCAGCACTCTAGGTGCTGAATTACTTACTTTTTTCCCATATTGTTTGGCATTGCAATTTCAAATTTTTTGCTGAGTGTTTAGAGATATAATTTTTTAAATTAAAAATTTGTAAGATAGTGAAAATTTTGGCCCAATTAAAATTCTTAAGTTTCTTGTCTTATAAAAGTCTTACACGTTTCTTTTACCATTATGGTAATCTGAAAATTTAATCTGCTTTATTTCCAGAATTGGAGACTTCCTTCACCCAAAAGAGGACATCTAGTCCATCTTTATTGCAAAATGAAAATGGTACCAATATGGAGCCAGCGAAGGAGGCAGTTATTCAGAAACCTCGAAGGAAGACAAAGTGAGAACTTATTGGTCCTTCTAAGTATTCCTCTCTATTACTTAATTTATTAGTCCTTCTAAATATTCTACTCTATTACTTAATTTGGAGCTCCCAAATAGTAGCTTTTGACTAAGTCTTATTAAATACTTGTACTTTATTGTAAGTATTTAATATAATATTATACTAAATATATATTTATTTTATTTATTATATTGTTATGCTAAGTATAAATATTAAATACTCTGTAAGTAGGATTACAAAAATATCAGTGAAACCAACCTAATGATATATTTGAAGAGTAAACAACAGAGAAAAGTACAATATTATATTTAAAAAATCTTGGAGCTGACTCTATAAAAGGAATACAAATATAAGATACTATGTAAGTAGCAAAAAATTAGATATTAAAGATCTTAAAATAAAAGGTAATATTAATAGAACAGGCTATTATGATTTACTTATTTATGTTAACAGGATTCAAGTTATGATTTTTTCAGCAATAAATAAAAATGTATTTTAGCATAGGAAATTAAGTCTTAGATAAAATAGAATGGCACGTGTTAAAGAAGTGAACCGGAAGTTCCATAACACTTGATTGCATTTGGAGATCATCCTACAAATAGTGATCAGTACTTATATAGAATGATATAATGTTAAGTCTGGGAATAATTTTAAAAATCTAGTTCAGTCACTTCATTTTCCAGATGAGAAAACTGAGGCCCACAGAAATATATGTGACTTGCATCACATGATAGTTAATAACAGATGCATTTGAGTAAAAACCAAATTTTCCAACTCTAAGTCTAGGTCTTTATCCCAGGTACCTCCTTACATGGGTCTATAAAAATTCAGTAATAATCCCTGTTACTTACATTTGCCCTGATTGTAGGAAAACCCAGCCAGCAGAATTACAGTATGCCAATGAACTAGGAGTAGAAGATGAAGACATAATTACTGATGAGCAAAGTAGTCCAGAGCAACAGTCTATCTTCACTGCACCCACTGGCATTAGCCAGCCTGTAGGCAAAGTGTTTGTGGAAAAAAGCCGTAAGTAGTTCTTGTTTTGGAGCATGAGCTCTTTAAGAATTATACAAGGATATCCTTTGACCTAGGAATTATGCTTCTGGAAATTTGAGTTAAGGAAATAAGATAAAAATTTATTCACAAAGATAACTATCACACTGTTACAGATGAGAGCAAAAAACTGGAAACTAAATGTAAAGAGGAGGGATATGATTTCAGTAGTTATGGTGTATGTACACAGTAAAATCTGCACCATTAAAAACAGTGTTTAAGGAGAAATTTTCATTTCATGGAAAGATTCAAATGAAAATAAACACACACACATATGTAGTTTGATCTCAACTATAGAAAAATACATAGGACCAAAGACAAGAAGGAAATATACCAGAATATGAATGCTGGTTGTTTATGAGTTGTGGGATTATGGATAATTTAAAAAATCTCCTCATGTCCCCACCCATTTCTTAATTTGTTGTACTTTTACTAGTTTTCTGTAATTGGTAGTGGTGTTGGTGTAGAGCAGGTAATGACATAAATTCTATAATTAAAAATAAATGGGAGAAAATAGAATATGGTATTATCATATTAAAAGGAAAAGAAGGGACGCGAACTCCACAGTCCAAGCAGCTTTATTGGTAAACCCGAGAGGGACCTCTCTGTTGTGGAGAGCAAAACAAAGAAGGCATCTCTTACAGGCTAAGAGGCTTTTTATGGCCAGGTTTTTTGGCAGGCTTTTGAGGGGATGGGTCAGGGTTGGGCTTGCTGACGTGTCCTCTGGAAAATGCTTGTAGCCTAACATGAAACCTAGGTCTCTCTGAGATGGTGGGTGGGTGTATTCAAAATGGTTGTACTCCTGTCCAGGCTCTACCACATATTAAGTAAGAAATACAACATTATAGCTATATGGTCTTTTGGAAAACAGTCTGACATTATATAGCATGTACTGGTTATAAGACTGCAGTGATTAAGGAAGCCTACTGAAAGAATGATCATGACTATATGCTGCTCCCATAGACACGCTGTCAACATGCTGCTTAAAGAACTCATCTGAAACATAAATAGGTCAGTCCAAAAATTTACAATTTAGATTCTACATAAGTTGTTTTGGAATTCTGATTCATAAGATTCCATGTAAGGGATCTTGGAGTTCTTGGCCAGTGAGAAGCCAGTGATTCAGGGTCTCACTGTTGGTTGATGGCAGATTTGGACTCACACTGAGGTTTGATAACTTCTAGTCAGGTGCTTTTACTCCTACACTGTGTGGCTATTTTGCTTACTCCAGTCTGTTTTTATTCTTGATTCCAGTAGCACAGAAACTTCCTAGAGAAATGGCCATAAATAGACCAGTTGTCTGCCTGGAAGTTGTCTTTTCTTAGGGAAAATTAGGTGTTTCACTTCTAGTCCTTCTAAATATTCTACTCTATTACTTAATTTGGAGCTCCCAAATAGTAGCTTTTGACTAAGTCTTATTAAATACTTGTACTTTATTGTAAGTATTTAATATAATATTATACTAAATATATATTTATTTTATTTATTATATTGTTATGCTAAGTATAAATATTAAATACTCTGTAAGTAGGATTACAAAAATATCAGTGAAACCAACCTAATGATATATTTGAAGAGTAAACAACAGAGAAAAGTACAATATTATATTTAAAAAATCTTGGAGCTGACTCTATAAAAGGAATACAAATATAAGATACTATGTAAGTAGCAAAAAATTAGATATTAAAGATCTTAAAATAAAAGGTAATATTAATAGAACAGGCTATTATGATTTACTTATTTATGTTAACAGGATTCAAGTTATGATTTTTTCAGCAATAAATAAAAATGTATTTTAGCATAGGAAATTAAGTCTTAGATAAAATAGAATGGCACGTGTTAAAGAAGTGAACCGGAAGTTCCATAACACTTGATTGCATTTGGAGATCATCCTACAAATAGTGATCAGTACTTATATAGAATGATATAATGTTAAGTCTGGGAATAATTTTAAAAATCTAGTTCAGTCACTTCATTTTCCAGATGAGAAAACTGAGGCCCACAGAAATATATGTGACTTGCATCACATGATAGTTAATAACAGATGCATTTGAGTAAAAACCAAATTTTCCAACTCTAAGTCTAGGTCTTTATCCCAGGTACCTCCTTACATGGGTCTATAAAAATTCAGTAATAATCCCTGTTACTTACATTTGCCCTGATTGTAGGAAAACCCAGCCAGCAGAATTACAGTATGCCAATGAACTAGGAGTAGAAGATGAAGACATAATTACTGATGAGCAAAGTAGTCCAGAGCAACAGTCTATCTTCACTGCACCCACTGGCATTAGCCAGCCTGTAGGCAAAGTGTTTGTGGAAAAAAGCCGTAAGTAGTTCTTGTTTTGGAGCATGAGCTCTTTAAGAATTATACAAGGATATCCTTTGACCTAGGAATTATGCTTCTGGAAATTTGAGTTAAGGAAATAAGATAAAAATTTATTCACAAAGATAACTATCACACTGTTACAGATGAGAGCAAAAAACTGGAAACTAAATGTAAAGAGGAGGGATATGATTTCAGTAGTTATGGTGTATGTACACAGTAAAATCTGCACCATTAAAAACAGTGTTTAAGGAGAAATTTTCATTTCATGGAAAGATTCAAATGAAAATAAACACACACACATATGTAGTTTGATCTCAACTATAGAAAAATACATAGGACCAAAGACAAGAAGGAAATATACCAGAATATGAATGCTGGTTGTTTATGAGTTGTGGGATTATGGATAATTTAAAAAATCTCCTCATGTCCCCACCCATTTCTTAATTTGTTGTACTTTTACTAGTTTTCTGTAATTGGTAGTGGTGTTGGTGTAGAGCAGGTAATGACATAAATTCTATAATTAAAAATAAATGGGAGAAAATAGAATATGGTATTATCATATTAAAAGGAAAAGAAGGGACGCGAACTCCACAGTCCAAGCAGCTTTATTGGTAAACCCGAGAGGGACCTCTCTGTTGTGGAGAGCAAAACAAAGAAGGCATCTCTTACAGGCTAAGAGGCTTTTTATGGCCAGGTTTTTTGGCAGGCTTTTGAGGGGATGGGTCAGCGTTGGGCTTGCTGACGTGTCCTCTGGAAAATGCTTGTAGCCTAACATGAAACCTAGGTCTCTCTGAGATGGTGGGTGGGTGTATTCAAAATGGTTGTACTCCTGTCCAGGCTCTACCACATATTAAGTAAGAAATACAACATTATAGCTATATGGTCTTTTGGAAAACAGTCTGACATTATATAGCATGTACTGGTTATAAGACTGCAGTGATTAAGGAAGCCTACTGAAAGAATGATCATGACTATATGCTGCTCCCATAGACACGCTGTCAACATGCTGCTTAAAGAACTCATCTGAAACATAAATAGGTCAGTCCAAAAATTTACAATTTAGATTCTACATAAGTTGTTTTGGAATTCTGATTCATAAGATTCCATGTAAGGGATCTTGGAGTTCTTGGCCAGTGAGAAGCCAGTGATTCAGGGTCTCACTGTTGGTTGATGGCAGATTTGGACTCACACTGAGGTTTGATAACTTCTAGTCAGGTGCTTTTACTCCTACACTGTGTGGCTATTTTGCTTACTCCAGTCTGTTTTTATTCTTGATTCCAGTAGCACAGAAACTTCCTAGAGAAATGGCCATAAATAGACCAGTTGTCTGCCTGGAAGTTGTCTTTTCTTAGGGAAAATTAGGTGTTTCACTTCTGTCTTTCATTCTCTAAAACATGGGACAGCCAGAATTGGCAAGCCTGATTGAAATGGAACCCCTCCTGCTGCCTGAGGGGCATCTGTGGCTTGGTAGAGCCAGGGAATCTGCAGGTACCGAGAAGGAGCCTCTTCATTAACAGTGGAAGGATAAAGCTCTGCTCAGTGTTGCAGTACTGACACTTGATCTGATACTCTTCACAGGAGCCTTCTTAAGAGAAGTTTATGAAACAACCTGTTTCTTTTCTGATACCACAGAATGCATGCCGCACACACTGGCATCTTCTCCTAAGAATTTAAAGTGTTTTCAAGTATTGACTTACCTTTGTAGTGTTGCCATTTAAACTTTAATACCCAAAGTCTCCAAATTTGACTTTTTTAGACTATGTTACATTGGAGGTTTTTAGACTTTGTTCTGAGTTGGAAGTTCATTATTGTATTTCATTAAATATAATTTCCAAAACTGTTACTTTAACATGTATTTTGGGTTAGGAGGAAAGTTCATGGACATTGTCCATTTTCCCTAAAGTGAAAAAATAGTACATTTAAGCAACCAAAGGAAAAGAACCTCTGAAATAGGGACTGAATCAGGGAGAATTTCTAGATAGAAACACAACAAAATTTCTGTCTCAGTCTGAGGGTTCTTAAGGGTGGAATACTAAAAAAAGGCTGCTGGGGTTCTTTCTTGCTAGTTGTTAATAATTGTGTAATGTGTTCTTAGGGCGATTCCAGGCTGCTGATCGCTCAGAGTTGATAAAGACCACAGAAAACATAGATGTGTCAATGGACATGAAGTCTTCCTGGACAACCAGAGATGTTGCAGTTTCAGTGCACCGGGCTTTCAGGTGGCTGCTTTTACTGGACTTTTTTTGAAACAAATGTTCCATAATTTTGTGAAAAAAGTGTTTTAAAAAAGCGTTAATTTAAAAAAGTGTTACTACTATTACCAAAATTGATAACTTAAAATGGTAGGTAGGTAGTGGTTACCAAGGGGGAGGGATTGGGATGGGTGGAGAGGGTTGAGGGGGATAAAAGGGCACAATAACTCACAATCACAATATAAGCTGGTCATGGGACAGTAGTACAGCATGGAGAATATAGTCAGTGATTCTGTAACATCTTTCTACGTTGATAGAGAGTAACTGCACTATAAGGGGTAAGGATTTAATAATATGGTTAACTGTTGAAACTGTGTTGTATATTTGAAACCAACATAAGATTGTGTATCAATGCTATTTCAATAAAATAAAAAAATAAGATAATAACATAATAACCTTAAAAAAAAGGTAAGTAGGTATTTTTTTTAGACATTCTAGTAGAGTTAAATCATTTTGCCTATCAGTGTTATAAAAAGAAAAAGCTTGTTTTTACTTTTCATGATGTGTTAATTTTATGCTTACTTGTAAAGAGATTTAAAAAACATTTCAGTCTTTTACTTTAGTAATCCATATATAATTAAACCCTTTCCATTCAGGATGATTGGTCTCTTTTCTCATGGCTTCTTGGCTGGCTGTGCTGTGTGGAATATTGTTGTGATATATGTGCTAGCAGGAGATCAGCTTTCTAATCTCTCAAACCTTCTGCAACAATACAAGACCTTAGCATATCCATTCCAGAGTCTTCTTTACTTGCTGTTGGCTCTAAGTACAATTTCAACTTTTGACAGGTAAGACTTGTGACTGCAGATCCCTTTCACTTTTCTTCAGGAGGAACTGTCCAGCAAAATGTGTCACTGACTATGACAGTTTTCAAAATAGATTTATAGGATGTTAATACTATTTTGACTTTTTTTTAAAGCATATCCATTTCTGTTTTTTTTTCACGGGGGGAATGGGAATATTGTGAACAAAAAACATCCTTCAAAGTCATTTTAACCCATTCTAGTATCAACTCTAAGTCCAAAATTTCATTCAAATATAATCAGTGCAAAAAATCTCAAACATTGTCTTCCACATCATCTGAATCAGTTGTTGGTGAGACTGTGGGCATTGTGTTAGTTTCCTAGGGTACTATTAGAAAGTACTTAAAACAGCAGGAGTTTGTTCTCTCACAGCTCTGGAGGGTAGTATTCTGAAATCAAGGTGTCAGCAAGGTGTGTTCCATTTTGGAGGGCTTCAAAGGAGAGTCTGTTCCATGTGTCTCCCCTACCTGCCAGTGGTTGCTGGCAGTCCTTGTGCTCCTCAGTTTATACGTGTCACTCTAGTTGCTGCCTCTTGTCCCATGACAGTCTTCCCTGGGTGTCTCTGTCTGTGTCTCTTCTTTTCTTATAAAGACACCAGTTGTATTGGATTAGGGCCCATTCTAATGACCTCATCTTAACTTGATTAAAGACCCTGTTTCCAAATAAGGTCCCAGGGGTTGAAGTTCAACCTGTCTTTTTGGGAATACAATTCAACTCATTAAGTAAAACAACTTACAGCCTGCTGATATGGGTAATAAAAAAAGGTAAAATCTAATGAAATTTTGCAGATAAGTTTTGCAGATTAATTTATTTCTTTGCAATGTCTTAGCTCTAAAGAAATGTTGACTAAAAAGTCTTTAATTAAATGTTTTATGTGGCCTTTGTAAGATACTCTTTCATGTGTGTTAAGTATAAAGGTAAAGCTTAGTAATACACAATATATGTGGTAGCATTAGAACAGAGAAGAAAAAACTATAGTCAAGAGAGTACAGTTTTATAAGAAGTTTATAACTGCACTGTGACAGGAAGCTTTGTATTTTCTAGGATTGACTTTGCTAAAACATCAGTAGCAATTCGAAATTTTTTTGCCCTGGATCCAACAGCTTTAGCATCTTTCTGTAAGTAAATAGTTTAATTTGGTAAGTGAAATTTATAAATTAAAAAAACATGGTAGCCATAATTTTGATAGATTATTTTTCAGTAGAGTTTGCTGTAAATAACTTTTACAAGTTTAGTTTGTTCTATATTAATGTTTAGTATTTGTATTTTCTACCTGACATTAAACAGATGCAGCTGGTATGGTGTTTCAGTAACAAATACTATTTTATATCTTGTTGATAATTAGGAATATGTTTTGTTCTGAGTTAAGAGAATATTAATAAGACTAGTTTTAGGATCTTGAGTAAATCATTTAACAAAAAACATTTTAGGTTTTTATCAGTTCTAATGATGAAATAGTGAGCATCTCAAAAGACCCTTCTGTACCTATTATATTCTTAAAAAATGATATAAGGCTATCCAGTCTATTGAAATTGATCTAATGAACTTCTTTTATATCATCATTCCCCAAAGTACAGAATATTTTTCCTTAATCTATAAATTCAATATAAATAGGGTTGTTAAAAAATACATTATTAATAATTTCATTTGTCTTTTTCTCAGTGTACTTTACTGCTCTTATACTATCTCTGAGTCAGCAAATGACAAGTGAGAGAATCCACCTTTACACACCTCCTTCTGTTAATGGTAGCCTCTGGTAAGAAATCACAATCATATGAGCAATTGTTGATAGTAATAACAGCAACAATGGGAGTAATGGGATTGTTCTTATCCTTCTACTCCTTTACATGTTTTCATCTATAAATAATAATAAAGGTCTCATTTTTGTTTCCAAAATCATGGCAAGAAAATTTCTTATTCCATTGGTTAATGGGTAATTATTGTTATATATACCTGCTTTTTTCATAAAATGTCTTCTTTTTACAACTCTATTGTACATCTCTTAAGTTGTGGTTTAAAAATTAGTCATTACGTGATGAACTGGAGGCGCCCTTCACCTCACCCCCAATCAGCATAGTGATGGGTTGGGTAGCTGCGATAGAGTCAGAGCCAAGCAATACTAGAAGACAGCAGACTGGGGAGAGCCAGCCTCCGCAGATCAGTGGCCAGCCATGAAACTGACAGCATAGCTGAGAGTCAGGTCACAAAACTCAGGGGGGCAGTCTTTTTTGAGAGTGGCTAGGGGCATGAGGTAAATGGGGAAAGAAAAGATATTTCATTGAAGAGTAGCACCATTGTAGTTGGAAGGGAAACTTTGAAAAAAATTATGTCAACACTGAATTTCCATTTACATTAATATACAAAGAAGATTTGTTTAGAGTTTAATAACCTTTGAACCTTTCTTCTTATGATATGTGTATATATATATGATGGATTTTATAGGGAAATCATTTTTTATTTCATGTGTTACTTGTTATTCCTCTCAGTGAGGACTGCCATTTTTTTTAAGTTCATAAAAGAGATATTTAGATATATGAACCAAAATGAAGACATTTCTTATGAGTATTTCTGTTCTTTTAGGGAAGCAGGAATTGAGCAACAGATTCTCCAGCCATGGATTGTCGTGAATCTGGTGGTGGCCCTTCTGGTTGGATTATCTTGGCTTTTTTTGTCTTACAGGCCAGGCATGGATCTTAGCGAAGGTATTATAGAAAAGATATTATAAGAGTATAATGATTCATCTGTAGTGATTTTTTAAAAAATTTTAATGCAGATAGTTTATAATATTCTGATAACAAAGACATATTTAAAATAAAATAGCACAAGAAGAGTGACAATAAAGTGGTGAAACAGAATACCAAGAAAGGTAAGGAGTGTTCTGGAGAGCTGCAGTCTCAAAGTCCTTAATGAGGGACTTCCCTGGCCCATGTGCATATTTAGGAGATATTTCTTCTCTTGGAACCCATCAAGTATTTTATAAAGTCTTTGCTCTTTAGTTCTCTTAGCCTCTAATCAAAATATCTATGTAGACTTTGTTCAGACACATATTCCAGTGAGTTATCCTTACCTCCTCCTCTTCCTGCACAAATTCTCAACACTTCATTGTCTAATGAACTGTTTAGTAATCCTACCTTTAGTGTGCCCAGTGTGAAATGAGATGTACTTATCTCTACTGCCTAGACCCCTTTGGAACACTTGAAGAAGAATACTATCAAACTGCTGGTCCTTCAGCACACTGCTTAAGGAATTGCTTAGCATTGGTACTGTATTTTATTGGCAGATGTTCCACAGTTTCACCCTTGAATCTCTAATATTTCATGGGCTTTGGTTATTTATTCTTGATTTTGTTAAACATCCTGGCATTTCACTGCAACTTAATCAACTAATTACAACCTGTCTGCCTCAGAAGTCTTAGAAATGAGAATCTTCCCAACATTTCCTTTTGTAAAAACAATAACAAAAAAAATATGTAATTTTCTCATGTATTTTCATTCATGAATGACCTTTTTGCATCATAATTGCTTCACTGGATATCCTGTTGCTTTATTCCTTTTGATGTATTTAAAGTATTTTTAAAAATCTTAGGCTTAACATAGGTTGCTTTTTTTCTTTCACTCAGTATGGTTTTTAGTCATAGAATTTAGCCAAAGAATTTTTCATCTAATATTTACATCAGAGGACTTTATTTTATTAAATTCCTAAGGTTTCTATATTTCCTGGGATTTTAATCAGTTATATAACTATGCTAAGGAATAGTTAAAATGTAGAAATGTCAACTAATAACATTGTATACTGTGGTTGGGATTGAAGCTGGATCCGGCTGGCTTGTGCAGTATTCAGTCTAAATCACTAAGTGTTTGTTACTTACCAAATATTTCCAGAATCCTGCTCTTTTAGGGCCATATTGAGTCATATAACATTTTCTTTCCATGTGGATAAAAAGTAAATTCAAAATGAGGATAATACCTTGCTTATTGGGCTGTTACAGTGATTAAATAGGATAACATGTTTAAGATAAACATTTTAGGTTTGGATCATTATAGGATTGGGCTTTTAAGGTATTTAATGATCCTGGATTCTCGAAGTAACTTTAATTTCCTGGTATGAGTTGTTGTATTATCTCCATTACATATGTTTTATTTTTCAAGGATTTATAGTACCCATTTTAAAATGCAAAATTAGTACATTTGTCATTCACTCACCTTTTAAATCAGAATTCTAACTTGTATTTGAGGGCTTTCTGTTACTGCATATTATGTTAATATTTATAACTAAGCTATAAACTCTTTGAGGTACTGGGAAATTATTTTGAGTATGATCTATTCATTTTCTCTCCCAGAGTTGATGTTCTCCTCTGAGATGGAAGAATATCCTGGAAAAGATAAAGGAATCAAAGCTTCCTCATAATGCTAACTCACCTCCAGAGTAATAATGAATTTTTGCTCTGTATTTAGAACTTTTCCCAATCTTGTTTTTAAATGTATTTTTCTAAGAAATGTACAGATGTACTTGGAATTGATTTTTTGATTATACAATATTGCAAATTTTCTCAAGATAATGGAAAATGTTAAAATTATATCTGCAATTATACTCAAACATTAACCTCATAGCATTATCATTTTAATGACAAAGGAGATAATGAACTAGAGACCAGTAGGTGAGAGTATTTATTTCCTGTTCTCTCAATTTAGTTGCATTTATAATCATTATTTTAAAACACTAATACAGAAAAAGGTTCAACTTTAGTATTACAAAATATGTATCAAGTTTAAACAAAATTTAGGTAACAAGGAATGGGGGAGAAAAAGACCTTCTTTCTTTATTTTTAATGTCTCCTTACTGAATAAATTAGAATATGAAATTTTTCTTTTTTGAAACTGCCTTAGTGGTTGTTTATCATGTAATAAGTATAATATAATATAATTTAGCTTGCAAGATGCTTTAATATTAATAAAAAGGAAATGTACCTTTTTCTTTGAAAAGTTTTATAACCATGGAAGTTTATTTCCCTTTAAAAACTCTACCAGTGGCTCCCTTATCTGGTCACACATCATAGTCCTCTAGAGAGCTTTAAAAAAGACATATGCAGCAAAAGAGAAGCTGAATGGGCCAAGAGCTCAGAGGAATAAAGGAGAGGCCTGTTGAGCCTGTTGAGCTAGCACTCAGTTGACCTCTGCAGAGCCCTTTCCTCTGCCTCTTTTTTTACGTGACAAAGAAATATGAGTAGAAATTCACCATGCCTATTCTCAAACTCTTGGTCAGAGAGATCTCTGGCTCCTCAGGAAATCCCAGTCTTGAAGTGGGTCTTACACTGGAATAAGTCTCTTCAGAGCTGTATACAGTGGTGCCTCAACTGGTATAAGACACTAGGGCGCAAGACAATGGTAAGACTTGCTGTGGGAAAAGGTGTCTCAAAGGCTCTTGAGCCATCAGTAAAACTATTGGCTTGATTAGCAATCAACTGAATGTTGTGAAATATAAGAGGACTGACAAATTGGATAGAGATGGATGGCTTTGAGAACAGTTCTAAATTTGGTGTGAACACTCTACCAGGAATATTTTGCTGTCTATAAGGTTGGAGCTGCTGAAAAGGGGATTCCCCTGCTGTCACAGAATCGTGAATGTGCTGGCAATTCTGAAGTTATCTTTCCTGTTCCAGCTTTCACTGTGATCAGCCATGGTTTTCTTGCTGGCAACAAGCTGGCAGTGCAGTACAAGATCCCGTCAGCAAACTTCTGGGAAGTCATGTTCACTAGAGCTGTGGCTTACCATACCTGAACAACGTCATCAAAGAGATATGAGAAAACCAGTGTGGGAGATAGTGATAGACTGAATAACGTCCCCCAAAGTTGTCCGTGGCCCAATGCTTGGAACCTTTTATTGGCAAAATGTGATGAAGGTTGTAAACTTGGAAATGAAGAGATTATCCTGTATTGTCTGGGTGGGACTATGTAATCACATGAGTCCTTAAAAGCAGAGAACCTTTCCTGTCTGTGGTTAGAGATATGATGAAGAAGAAAGGGCAGAGAGTTGTGATTTTGCTGACGTTGAAGAAGGAGGAGGGGCCATAAGCCAAGGAAGTGGGCAAACTCTAGAAGCTAACAAAAGCCCTTGGCTGAACAGCCAGCAGGAAAATGGATATGGGCTCAGTCCACATCTTTAAGGAACTGCATTCTGCTCTCATCTCAAATGAGCAAGGAAATAGATCCTCCCCCAAACCTACTACAAAAAAGAATCCAGCCCTGCCGAAGACTTATGACACAACTGTAAGATGGCAAATGTGTGTTAAGCTGATAAATTTAGCGTAATTTTTATGGCAAAAATAGAAAGTTAATACAAGGTTGAAGGGAGTTTTGCTCTTAATATCATAGAGAATAAAGCCCTAGAGCTGTGGAATGCAATTGGGAAAGCTGGTTATGTTGATAATGTAACTTACAGGGGCAAAGTTGCCTTTGAATTCTTCAGGTCTGGGAAGTATGACTTGGACTTCAGATCTCCCAGTCACCCCAGCAAGTACATAATCCCTTAGCAGCTGATGGACCTGTACAAATCTTTTCTTCAGGGAAAACCCACTGTTGTCTTATCAAAAATGCTAGCCATGATGATTGGGAAACTTGGAGGAAGTTCATTGTTAATGTATGTCTCCAATGATTGGTTCAAAGTCATCATTTTTCTCACCTTTTTCCCTGCATTGAGTGTGGGTGGAGTGATATATTTGGTAGTTTCTGAAGGGTCAACAGGCAAGATCCCCAGTGGGATTTCTGTTGTTTCTTGGGGGTGCAAAATAAAATGTTTAGTACTTAATATCTGCCTCTTCCCACTCTCCCCGAGAAGAACAAAACATACATAGACTCCTAGGCCCTATCCCTAGAGGTTCAGATTCAGTAAGTCTGAAGTGGAGCCTGGAAAACTATTTTTTAGAAAAAGATATCCCAGGTGATTGTGGTACTGCCAGTAGACCAGCTTTTGGGACCTCTGGCCAATAACCATTTGTAATCTATTATGAAACATAAAGCTTGGATTATAACATGAATTGATTTGATCTTGATCAAATTGCTAGGTTTCTGAGAGTACAAGAAAATGAAAAAATTAGTAAAACATGGTAACTGCTTTCTACAGGTTCATAAACTAGTTAGAAAACATAGGTGGGCATACTAGTTCAAGAATCTAGGAAAGTATTATGGGTAAGATTGGGTGTGAGCCTGTCTTTATAGGATGGATGGATTTCTATTGGTAGAGATGACAGCAAGAAAAAGACCATACACATGGGTGAGCCTTGCAGGCTTTTTATTTGGGAAACTGTCAAATAGTAAAAATGTCAAATTGTAATAGCAACTAATCTAGATCAATCTAGATTTAATAATTGTTAAAATTTTGTCCATTTGCTCATTTGCTTTATCTTTCTTTATAATTCCCCTTTTTTCTTGCTAAATCTTTCTAAAACAAGTTGGTAGCCCCCTGTCACTTCACCTGAATATTTAAGCATGCATCCTCCAAAAATAACATTTGTCTACATTCACACAATATCATTAAAATAGCTGAAAAATAGCAATTTCAGTATATTCTCAAATTTACCCAGTTGCCTCTCATATAATCAAGGCTTACTTACACATTTCAGTTGGTTGGTGTATCTTACCTCTTAAAATCATCCTACCTTTTTTTCCTCATCATGACATTTTTTTAATTCACAATTGTACTGAGATAAGTGTAGGTTCATGCAAACATCAATAATAGATCTTTTTTTCTAGTATACTTTGTCAGTGTCTCTAATGATAACCTGCATGCAAATTTAAGAAATAATACAGAGAGATCCTTTGTACATTTTGCCAATGTCTCCAAATGACAACATTTTGGAGCACTATAGTATAATATCACAACCAGGATACTGACATAGATACAGCCCAGTGATCTTTCCTCAGTTTTACTTGTACTTGTGTGTACATGTGAGCATGCATATTTATTAAGTCCTAACAGTTTTATCTATTGTATAGGTTTACATAACCATCAGCATAGTCAAGATCTGTAACATTTCACCCAAAAACACAAGAGTCTCATGTTGTCCTTTTATAACCTTGCCTATGTTCCTTCCATACCCCTATCTCTGTACCCCTAACCCTGACCTCTGGCAATCACTAATCTGTCTTCTATTTCTAAAATTGTGTCATTTCAAGAATATTATACATTGGATTATATAGTATATGTTGGGATTAGCTTTTTTCTGTTCAGCATAATTCCTTGGAGATTCATGCAAGTTATGTGTATCCATTTCTTTTTATTGCTAAATCACATTCCACAGTGTGTATTACTGCAGTTTATTTTACCATTTGCCTGTTCAAGGGTATCTGAGCTGATCCCACTTTTTGGCTATTATGAATAAAGCTGTTATGAATACTTGTGTACAGATTTTTGTGTAAATGTAAGGTATTATTTCTCTGGGATAAATGCCTAGGAGTGCAAGTCCTGGGTTGTGTGGTAGTTACCTGTATAGCTTTTTAAGAAACTGCCAAACTCTTTTTAGAGTGGCTATACCCCTCTATATTCCTCATGACATTTTTTTTGAAGAATCCAAACCAGTTTTGGCTTAGAATGTCTCACCTATAGTTTGTATCTTTGATTTTTTTTTCTAGTAGCATCATTCAGTTTGTTCTTCTGTCTCCTAAATTGCCTATAAACTGGAGGTTATGTCTAGATTGATTAGATTAAATATTTTTTATGTTGCAGCACATGAACTCTAAGGAAGTCAGAGTGTACTGGGGGCCAGAAGACTTATTGGCAGAGTGATTAAACACTACACAGCACAGACCCAAAATGACAACAAGCATGTATCAATGGCCTTGAGCTCTTGTGCCACGTGCCCTGAAAAGTACAGTTGAGGATCAGGTTCCTGTCCCCAAAGAACTCTATCTTTTGAAATTAACAAGTAATTCTAATAGTGTGATCCCATATCCAGTAGGGATATGCCTAGTAGTAGCTTGAAGACAGAAGTTAATTCTGCTTTTGGGGTGTGTGTAGGGTTATAAGACTTAACTGAAAGCTGAACTTTGAGCTGGCCCTTGAATAAAAGAAAAATAGATTCCAAAAAGAATAACCATATATAATGATCCTGAGGTAGCAGATTGCATTTTGGAGGTGCTTGATTTACATATTAAGGAATTCAAGTTTATGGCCAATAAAAAAGCTCTGAAAATTTCTGGTTTTGTCAGTTTTTAAAAATAAACTGTATTAATGCTAGTCCAGTGGAGAAGGTGGGGAACAGCAAGCTGGGAGACCCATGAGTAAACTGTTAAAGTCATTTGTGTGTGAGACGTCATAAACTAGATGTCAAAAAGAGAAAAGAGTAGGGTTCAAACAGAATTAAAAATGTTTCTGAAGTTTGAAGCTTTTGTGGATACGACAGTGCTACATTAAATTAGTTTGGAACATACCAGAGGTCAGGGAGAAAAGGTGAATATTAATGTGAGCCTATAGGGCCAATCAAGATGTACGTTCCAAGTAGACTTGGAAATATCAATATCTGGAGCTCAGGGTATAGTGTAAGGAAGTGATGATTGATGTAAATCTCCCAGAAAGAACGGATGCAGGGAGAAGAGGGCTTTGATATAGGGGTAAGAGGCGGACGAGAAAATGAACTAGTGTTGAGTCACGGAGCCAAGGGGACTTGCCGTCCACCAGTATGCTCTGAGTTCCTTCCAAGTAAGTGCTTGCCACTGACTCCAGGGCTCACTAAGCTCCCAGTCCGCATAAACCAGGGCAGCTCTTGGCCGGGCCTGAGCATGCAGGTCACTTGGATTGTACGCGTGCGCAGTGAAAGCTCAGGGAAAAGTAGCGAGAGGGCTGCGCCTGCGCAGTAGCGGGCCGGCAGTTAGGTGGGCTCGCCCAGCAGGCCATGGAGGGATGGAGGCCCGCGAAAAGATGCCTAAAGTTTCCAACACTGTTAACAACCACGGCGGGCGGGTCCATTCCTTGTACACAGCCCCTGTATTTCAGAGGAGTCCCTATGCCAGCTCGGAAGTCACGCACCCGCAAGGGTCAGAGTATTCTGCGGCCCGTAACTTGCGGGAGCAGGGCCAGACCACGGATCTGCCCAGGGATAGGGCCAAGGAGGGCCCTGGGCGCCGACTGCTGAACGTGAGTGGGGCCCCTGCCGGCGGAGTCTGTCCCCTACGACCACCCAGGCCGGCGAGGGACCAATGGCTCAACGCGTGCAGCGGGGAGGGAGGGGGGCCTGCCTACGTTGGAAGGTGGTAATACCTGAGGAAGAGTTTACCTGGCTTCTGACATTTGTTGTCAGAGCCTGGTTTTATCAACTGTTACAAGTACCGCACCTTACATACAGGGTTATTCGAAGAACTGAAGGAGATTATGGTATAAAGTGTGTAATACGCAGCAGTAAATAAATGTAAGCCGTCCACGGAAACTTTAGTTACCCTTGTTTTCAATTCCTGAGGTTCTTACAGATGAACCTGTAGGAGCAAATCGGCATCATGTCTGCAAAGGAAAGTATCGTCCTTCTTTTCATAATCAGAAAGGTAGATTTATATTTGAAATGTGTGAAACTCCTGAGATTACTGTTTAGTGCTACCACCAGAAGACGGAAGATAGAGAAAAGGGGAATCAAATTGAAGCTCACTTTTTCAAAGCTGTTAAGGATTATTCAGAAATTGTACATCATCTGTTGTAAAATTTATTTGTACTCTATTAAAAAATTGTACAAATAAAAGTATCAGGAAACACATGGAAAAAGATGATGTTCTTCTCTGTAAAACTGAGTTGAATTACTTGATCTCTAAAGTGTCCTCTTCATTCAAAAAACTTAGAATTCTTACTCCTATTCTTTTTTTTTTTTTTTTTTTTTACATTGAAAGGTGTTTTATTCCCAAGGCCAATTCATAAGTGCCCTGGCCCTCAAGGTTTATTCATGTCATAACAAATGGCAGGATTTCCTTCTTTATTATGGCTGAATAATATTCTGTTATCTATATACCACATCTTCTTTATCCATTCACCTTGCCTCTTGTGAATATGCTGCATGAACATAGAGGTGCAGAGATCTCTGTAAGACAGTTATTTCACTGCCTTCGGATGAGTACCCGAAAATGGGGTGGCTGGGTCCTGTGGTAGTTCTATTTTTATTTTTTATTTATTTATTTTTTTTGAGAGGACATCTCTCATATTTATTGATCAAATGGTTGTTAACAACAATAAAATTCTGTACAGGGGACTCAATGCACAATCATTAATCAACCCCAAGCCTAATTCTCAACAGTCTCCAATCTTCTGAAGCATAATGAACAAGTTCTTACATGGTGAACAAGTTCTTAGATAATGAATAAGTTCTTACATGGTGAACAGTGCAAGGGCAGTCATATCACAGAAACTTTTGGTTTTGATCACGCATTATGAGCTATAAACAATCAAGTTAGATGTGATTATTCGTTTGATTTTTATACTTGATTTATATGTGAATCCCACATTTATCCCTTATTATTATTGTTTTTTTTTTTTAATAAAATGCTGAAGTGATATGGTAGGTAGATGCAGGATAAAGGTAGAAAACAAAATTTAGTGCTGTAAGAGGGCAAATGTAGATGATCAGGTCTGTGCCTATAGACTAAGTGTTAATCCAAGCTAGACAAGTGCAACAAAACATCCACG